TAAACACAAGGTGTTACGGTCGTCGTGAACACTAAACACAAGGTGTTAACGGTCGTCGTGAACACTAAACACAAGGTGTTAACGGTCATCGTGAACACTAAACACAAGGTGTTACGGTCGTCGTGAACACGACCTACATTTAAAAAAGAATTTTACAAAATCTAAAATAAATAAAAACTGAATTAGTTGCTTATAATACTAAAAATGTATATAAAAATTTCATTGATGAGATCTTTAAATTTTGTAACATCTGCTTAATCTTATTATGATACCAACAGTAACAACAAGTGAAATCTTTTATTCTTATAAAATATTTGTTACAAACCTTAGTGCAGATCAATAAACGACGTCCACATGATAGTTCCTGTTATCGATTAGACATATTTACTGGTTTTAACGCATTTAGTATATCTTATCGTGGTTTTATAACATATATTTGCTATTTTGAACCTGAACGACACCCTATTCGACACATGGGATAAACAGCCAGGTTTAGAGACCTCAAGGTTCAGGCACAGCTATCCCTAACATAGAAGACATGATAACTTGCCGGGTGATTAGGACGCTCGACTCGCAATCTGAGGATCGCGGGTTCGAATCCCCGTCACACCAAACATGCTCACCCTTTCAGCCGTGGGGGCGTTATAATTTGATGGTCAGTCCCACTATTCGTTGGTGAAAGAGTAGCCCACAGTTGGCGTTGGGTGGTGATGACTAGCTGCCTTCCTTCTAGTCTTACACTGCACTGCTAAATTAGAGACGGGTAGCGCAGTTAGCCCTCGTGTAGCTTTGCGCGAAATTCAAAAACAAACATTATAACTTGTCAACACCCTTCGTCTTTATGACTTCTGTTACTTGACTAGCGGTATATCACGATAATTATGCTCCTCAGCGTATACAACGGCATGCTGCGGATCGAATCTTGGATCTTCCGATACGCATCCCTTTACGTTTTATATTGTTAACACGTTTACTTGGATGTACGTGGTTTAAATTTATTTGTGTTATTAATTTAGAGATATATTTACATCGTTTTAAAATAATTTCATAACTGTTTGGAAAATAAAACTTCTGTAGAACGTTCAATCGTGTATGATAAACTAATTTAAAACATATAGTTTCAACACATTTTTTTAAAACCATAAATAGGGGCGTTTAAATTATATGACGTGGACAACGATGGATACATCACGCGGGAAGAAATGTATAGTATTGTAGACGCCATCTACCAGATGTTGGTAAGTAAGACTAAATCTACTATAATTGTTAGCAAACATTGTTTCAGTTAAAGTTTCATACTCCTATCATGATAAGAATCGAAGAGAAAACTCCTAGTCCAGATGACGATAACTGACATAAAAAGTCAGTTATTAGATACCTTATTTCAGTAACGTCACGAAAGCGCCACCTACCACGTTCTGGTGAAAGAAAAAGTAGTTTCTTACAGTAAGATAAAAAGAATAGTTTAAAGCTAATACAATACGATAGATGAAGAACTGAAACTTTAGTAATAATCCTCAAGTATAATAAATCTGTAATACATCAGAATGTTATTTGGTCAAAACTCGGAGGATTTTCTTATATTGTTATTTTTTGCTGATTTTTTTCTTGCCGGTAAGTAGCAAAAAGAAACACAAAAAAAAAAACAATGAAATACTTTTTAAATTGATATAATTAGTCAAGATGTCAATTTTGAAACTCAATGCTTTCTATATACCGAACTGGAAGTAAAGAATATATAAAAAACTTCTATGAAATGCAAATTAAAATAATCTCAGAAGTTAAAGTATAGTTCTCGAAATGATTTGATAAGAATATTTTAGTTATAATAAACTGGTCGGTCATAAGATGGTATTTTTTTTTTGGTTAACAAACAACAAAGAAACAAGAGGGAATTCTCAATAGCCGCGGCACTTGAAATTCTTTTAGGCAGAATTAGAGTAAATTAATCTACTGGGACAACGGTAAGTTTACGGACTTACAAGGCTAAAATCCGGGGGGTCGATTCCCTGCGGTGGGCACAGAGATAGCCCTATGCGGCTTTGCTCTATCTCAAACAAACACTTGTAAAATTATGCTGCATATTAGTATGAAATGTAGGATCCTTAATATTAAATACTTCAAGTAAGCCTTTTCGTTACATCTATACTCACTGTTTACATTTTCATATTGCCAAGTAAGTGAAACAAGTAAAACAAAAAGTGAAATAGACAAAAAATTGATTCATTATTACTTAATAAATTAACGTGGTATAAAGAAATTTATGGAACAGAAATGCTGGGCCTTTCTATGTTTTTTTTATTTTGTGTTCGATAAGAGTATTTATTGTTTTACAAAACTTAACACCAGAGCTCCACACTCTTTCATTGCCGAAAATGTATTAAATGTGTAACGTCGTTGATTCCGTTATTGTTTAACAGGATTAAACCAAAACTATAAGCCGATATGAAGATAAGTAAGTGTTTGGTGAGAGATTTGAGAACGGGAGGCTATATACAGAATAATCCGCTTTTCCCTCACAGATTTCTGAAATTAAATTGATTAACGACGATGTCAGTGCTTTATCTACTTCACTTTCCATGTTTTTGTTATATATTGTAGTATATAACTTCATGTGGAGTTAGTTTAGAAAGCTGTAGTAACGTTTCATCATTATTTGTTCTACTTTTGAAAGCTTCTGGATTGGGCGTGGCCAATTGGTTAGAATTCCGCTGTATATCGCAAGATTCAAGGTTTGATTCGTGATTCCGCACATTCAACTATGGGCGGGTTAAGAAAGTAAGAGTCAATAGCACAACAAAGTCCCCTTAAAGTGGGGAGTGCTGCTGATTGGCTGCCCTACCTCTAGTTAGTAGTTTGTAATTAGGGACGGTTTACGAACCTTAATTAAAATAGTTTATAACCTGGCCGTTTATTCCGTTTGTCGCATAAGGTGCCGCTCAGGTTATAAATTCCGATTCCTCAATTCTTTGTTTCATATTAAGGACATAATAGGTTTAATTTTTCATAGATGCTCTATATGGAAAAAAATAATAACTTTGTATTTCACGTACAACTATACAATTCAAAATAGTTTATTACATTAAATTCACTGAAAACTCTAAAACAAAATAGTTTCTGCTTAGCATAACTGGTATTATTGGTTTATATTGATTAGATTCTATACACAAACAGAAGTCTTAGAAATTTTAAATATAAAATAATGTTGAGCCATTTTTTAAATAATAGGATTAATTCTTAAGCGTATTTTATACACAAATTCTAAAACAATTTTGCGTCTCACTTATTAAATTATTATAAAACAACAATAACTTCTGATCAGTAAGCTATGTACTTAAGAGAGAAACTCAAAATCAACTTGGCCACAAGTATAACTAGTTAAATATACCCTTTTTTTACGTTTCTATCTAGGAATATTAGAATGCACTATTTCAATCAGTGAGGTATCCTCTCTATTAACTATATTTTCGTGTTGTAACTCCAGTTTCATTGTTTTTTCAGCCGCGGCTTAGTGGCTCAATAAATGGTTCTGAGCTGTTGCTTTGTATTTTTTCAAGTACTTTTACCTCATACCTCCCTCATCTCTTGATCGATATGAGATCTAATAACAATTTTGGACTCAGGAGGTCAAACCCTTTCGATTGATGTATTTGACCACGCCCAAGGTCTCCTTGTGACACATAATATTACGATGAATATGTACATGTGTAGTACCTTCTACTAATGAACCACAAACTTTAATTACCTTGTAGTCAAAATGTAATATATTTAATTAAGTATGGACAGATCGATGCGAAAAGCTTTGTTATAAAGTCCTTACGTAACCTTTCAAACGTTAAAAAGCTGTGTTAGGCTTTGAATGACAAGTTAGTTTCCGCTAACTCTTCTAAAAGGCGTGACCTTTAGTGTTAACAGAGAGCTGAACGTGCTTCATAAAGCTAGTTTTAAAAGAACTTTGAAAAGGCTTCGTACTTCAAAAGGCTCTTGTATTTTACTTTATACAAGTAAGCAGAAATTGCCTGAGAAACTGCATGCTAGGGTTTCAATGACAATTGAAAATTATATTGTAATTCAACAAGAATATAACGAAGCAGGAGCCGAAAATAAAATAATACAACTACAGAACTACCTCCACAACAAAATAAAAGTAGATATTATTTTTTAGTATCTAAAATATAAGCTGTTTTGCTAAACCATCTCAAATAATGCTCAATAGCACGTATTTCATGCTCTATGTTTGGGTCTCTAGTCATCTTCCAGAGAAGAATTTTCGAAGTAAGTTAGAAACCAAAAAACACCAAGTTCAAGTATAATAAAATAATTTTTTAAAGTTATAGACCGTGCTTTGGCCCGGCATGGCCAGGTGGTTAAGGCACTCGACTCGCAATCTGAGGATCGCGGGTTCGAATCCCTCTCACACCAAACATGCTCGCCCTTTCAGCCGTGGGAGCGTTATAATGTGACGGTCAATCCCACTATTCGTTGGTAAAATAGTAGCCCAAAAGTTGGCGGTGAGTGGTGATGACTAGCTGCCTTCCCTCTAGTCTTACACTGCTAAATTTTAACGAATTGACACCCGACAAAAGTCAACAGTTGGAAAGTGAGTTTTAATTAAGTTTTTCGTAAATCGTTAGTTTGAAAGTCAATAGTTCGAAAGTGAGTTTTAAATAAGTTTTTCGTGGAACGTTACTTTGAAAGTGAAATAGACTGTTCAGAGCTTCTCCTTACAATTTGTTCTCATGTGGGTCAGCATTAAATTTACAGACTTATAACACTAAAATCCGGGGATCGTTTCTCTGGGCTAAAAACGACAACAACTTCTTGTAAGCCCAATAACTGTTGAGGTAGAATATCTAATTACGGAAGTAATAAGTTATGTCATGGTTCTAATTACGAAATAATAAGTTATGTCATGGTTCTAATTACGGAAGTAATAAGTTATGTCATGGTTCTAATTACGGAAGTAATAAGTTATGTCATGGTCCTAATTACGGAAGTAATAAGTTATGTCATGGTTCTTTCCACAGGATGGAGCTATTGAGTTTGAAGAATTCATACGAGCTTTATCTGTGACATCAAGGGGAAACGTTGAAGAAAAACTTGACTGTAAGTAACTTGAAAACTCTTACTTCAACTAAAAACTATCTAAAATTTTAGATCCACCCCAGCGTTTCGGCTACAAGCTACACAACAGAATAACGAGAGGCAGGTGTCTTTGTACACAACAGAATAATGTCGTCTTCCAAATTGGAATTGTAACAATGGGATTTACAGTTCCCTAATCCACGCCCGGTCCCAGTTGTAATGTATAGCGGATACATATTAATTCAGAGTGTAATGGCAATGATAGAGAAACCACCTTATAAAGGATATATAAAACCTTGGCTTGAGCAAAATCTCTATTTTATAATTACTTATTGAATGAAGTTAAAACCGACCTGTTTTCTCCAGATTATTTAAAACAGTTTTTTGTTTTGAACTACGTTTCGTCATTGCGGCTTCATCAGGGTTTGTACAAAATCCTTTTGTACAAGGCGTGATGAGGCCACAAGGGCGAAACGTAGGTTCAAATAAAAAAAGTATTTTAAAGTATTTGAATAAAGATTTTGAAACAAGAACAAATAATTAAAACGTCAAAAAAGACCGATCCATTTTCATTGAACTTTAAATAACCATGTGTCCTTAATGTATACAGACGTTGACTGGAAATTTGTTATCAGAGAATTCGGCAAGTGCACGTAGGTGTATATAATTAAAGTTTGTGGTTCATTAGTAGAAGGTACTACACATGTACATATTCATCGTAATATTATGTGTCACAAGTGGGACAACGGTAAGTTTACGGACTTACAAGGTAATTAAAATGTGTGGTTCATTAGTAGAAGGTACTACACATGTACATATTCATCGTAATATTATGTGTCACAAGTGGGACAACGGTAAGTTTACGGACTTACAAGGTAATTAAAGTTTGTGGTTCATTAGTAGAAGGTACTACACATGTACATATTCATCGTAATATTATGTGTCACAAGTGGGACAACGGTAAGTTTACGGACTAATGAATGCCATTTTGATTTTAATATATTGAACCAGTGGATAACTAAGTATAAGTTTTAGGAGTAAAGTGAACTTCCAACAGTCTAATTATTATACTAAATGTATCTAACCTTAAATATTTGTCGTTTAATTATTGATAGTAAATACATTGCTATGTATTAAATACTATATACTGAATAAAATTTTGTTTATGTTTATGTGCAAAGCTACACAATGGGCTATGTGCGCATCACAGGTATCGAACCCCAATTTTTAGAGTACAAGCCCCAAACTTACTGCTGAGCCCCTGGGGGGGAAAGAATAATATCGGGTAATTTCTGTAGGATGTTCTTGAGAAACAGGCATTTTTGACAGAAATGCCTGTTTTCACAGAAATCTATGTATGATAGAAATAAATATTACAAATAAATAATTAGAGGTGAGAATTCTCTATAAGATCTAAGACACCCGAAACAAAAGCCTTAAGCATACATTTCTCTCTTTCTAGAGCT